TGTCGCAGCGCTACTTCGAGGACCACCGGAAGCGGTGGCCCACGCGGATCCGCAACGACGCGGCGCGATGCGGCGACGTGGCCACCTGCGAAGACTTCCTGCTCGATCCGCCGAAAAACGTGGTCGTCGAGGTCCCCGTTGACAAGACCATGTACCACATGAGCCTGAGTTCTCCGAAGCGGTGGGTCCTCTCGAAGATGAAGGACGACCGAGAGCTCAACCCCAACGTGCTGACCGTCAACAGCCGCCTGATCACCCGGGCGAAGATGATCGTGGACAAGCTCGGCGCGGCCTACGACGCGGCGCATCTCCGGACGGGCGACTACTTCGACGCCTTGTATACCGACGAAGTGGCGCGCGGGGCCGTGATTCAACGTCGCTTCGACTTGAGTGTGCCGCCGCGCGCGCTCGTTCCAAACAACCTATCCGTGCCTCGAGACCGCTCTGAGAGATAATCACTCGTCCAAAAATGAGCCGAATCGAGGGGAAACTGGCCAAGAGCGGCGCTTTCAAAGTTGGGAATGCCCTGCCCTTGCGCCGCCCAGGTCGCGCACGCCAAGTACCGCATCAACAAGCTCCGTAACGTCACCATGCGCCGGAGCCGGCCCCTCTTCCTCATGACCGTGCGCGTCCCGGAGGGCTGGGGCATCGGCTACGACTCCGTGCGCACGGCGACGTCCGACTTCGCCGAGGCCGTGCGCGGCATCTCGATCGCGGAACGAGGCGTCGTCGAATCAGTCGTCTGTGCGAACGCGCACCACTTCGTGGCCACGGGCTCGTCGAGCATGAGCGAGTGGATCCTGCGCCTGCGCGCGACGCGGCCGCCCTGGTCCGTCCTCCTCAAGCACGCGGCGCGGCCTGACCCCGGCGTCGACTGCCACAGCGCGTGGTGCTTCGAGGTCCCGCCGTCTGAGCGGAAGGCGCTTCCGCCACCGCCGGAGCCCAAGCTGGCCCCGTCACGCCGCGAGTCGCTCGACGGCCCGCTCTACGCCGACGAGCTCGCCGCGTACAACGCCGCTCGGCGACAGGAGCACGGCGGCGGCCAGGGCCACGGCGGCGGCCAGGGCCACGGCGGCGGCCACGGCCGGCGCCGGGGCCAGAAACGCGGCGGCGGCGACGGCAAGCCCACGATGGTCCGGGAGTCGTACCAGATCCGCGCGAACAGCCTCGGCGCGGGGCAGGGCGAGCGGCGCGCGTCCTGGTCGTCGCCTTTAAACTCGGGCGCCTACTCGTGTATCGAGGGTCCTGAGCCACGCCTTGGCAACGGTGGCGCCTAACATATCCCGCCGGCGGGATATGTTCACATCGGCCCGGAGGGAGCGGAGGTCGGCGACGCGGGCGATGTCGAGGACGAGCTCTTACGTCGCGCTCTTGACGATGGAAAGGATCCGCCACGCCCATGGAGCCGACGATGTCCCCGTCGACCTCGAAGTAGTCGGGC